GTGAGTCCGGCCAGCAGCATCGGGGGGGCGAGGCCCGCGTCGGAGGCTTCGGCGGGTGGCGCTGCCAGCGGTCGATCGAGCCCGACCATGAGTACGGGCGGGCTAGACGACGACTTATCGCCCGCGGGGAGCGGGACATCGAGGAAGGTTCCACCGCTTGGCGAATTGGTGAAGCACATGGGGTCGCTGACCATTCCGACGCTTGCGCAAAGTGCCGGGGTCACCACGGAGGCGGCGAACTACTTCCTCAACACGGGCTTCACGGCCGGCGAAGTTCAGCCGGAAAGGGCCGTGGCCATGATGACGTTACTTCTCGACAAAAGGCTTAGTCTCCAGCGCGACGGAGACAGCGTCCAGGACTACATGGATGATCTTGGTGAAGAGGATATGCAGCTGCCCGGGTTTGATAGGTTTGACGAGTCGGTCATGTTTAAACTGCTCGAGCTCTACGGCGTGGAAATGATGGACTTCCGCAGCCTGCCGGAATCGAATTGGTTTCACAACGGATGGCCCATAGAACGTGTTACGCCGGACAAGGTGCTTCAGGTTACGCAGCGGGTGGCGAGGTTGTTGGTGCTCGGCGCCGGCGTGACGAACTCCGGGCTGTCCGCCGCCGGTCAGACATCCATCCCCGGTTCTGCAATAGTGGGGGGTGCGCGCGCCATGTCAAGCATGGACCCTTCAGGGGCGGCGAGTGGGCCTTCGGGAAACCGTGGAAGGAAGCCCCGTGCCAAGACCAATAAGCTCGCCGAGGATGGGCTAGATAGGTAAGGCTGTTCGTCGACTCTGCCCATGTCTTGGTTCTCTATTTCCTTCGTGTGGTAGACGCTGTGCATCATTGTTAAATTATTTTGGTGGACGTAACCTGTACCAGAGAAGTGTCATCGCAGCATTATTGTTGGCTACTCCATCAGGGAGGTGCCAGAGCATACCGTACCCTGGTGCCTCTCTTGCGCCGTTGTGCCACGTGTCCCAGCTTCATGGAGCGACAGGTGGCTGACGCTAGGGCACTCGCCGATCAGAAACGTGAAGAGGACGAGAGGAGGTGGGCGGCGGAAGCTAAACGAGAAGTAGGGAAGAGGCAAGAGCTCCTGGACATGATGGCCCACGAGAGGGCAATGCGGGAGGATGAAAGGAAACACGACAGACAAGAGCGTGAAGTGGAGAGGGCGGCTGCACGGGCAGAGCAAAAGGCAGAGCGTGATCACCAAATCAGGATGATGCAACTCCAGGTAGTCCTGGCGAAGGCGAAGGGCAACAATAACTAGCTAGCTGCTGGTTGGGGTTGCTGTTGCTGCAGTTGCTAGGGCATGCGTTGCATGTGTTGTTTTTTTTTTTTCAACAGCAGGCTCTTCAAAAAAATGTCGTGGCGTCCGTTGCGCCTTGCGCGTTTTTTTCTGGGGGGCTTGCCTGTTCGGGGTAGGGAAAAATGGGAATAGTTTTTCGCCCTTGCTGCTGCTGCAGTTGCTATGGCATGCGTTGCATGTGTTTTTGTTTTTTTCAACAGCAGGCTCTTCAAAAAAATGTCGTGGCGTCCGTTGCGCCTTGCGCGTTTTTTTCTGGGGGGCTTGCCTGTTCGGGGTAGGGAAAAATGGGAATAGTTTTTCGCCCTTGCTGCTGCTGCAGTTGCTATGGCATGCGTTGCATGTGTTTTTGTTTTTTTCAACAGCAGGCTCTTCGAAAGAATATTGTGGCATCCGTTGCCCCTTGCGCGTGTTTTTCTGGGGGGCTTGCCTGTTTGGGGCAGGGAAAAATGGAAATAGGTTTTCGCCCTTGCTGCTGCTGCAGTTGCTAGGGCATGCGTTCCATGTGTTTTTGTTTTTTTCAACAGCAGGCTCTTCGAAAGAATATTGTGGCGTCCGTTGCGCCTTGCGCGTGTTTTTCTGGGGGGCTTGCCTGTTTGGGGCAGGGAAAAATGGAAATAGGTTTTCGCCCTTGCTGCTGCTGCAGTTGCTAGGGCATGCGTTCCATGTGTTTTTGTTTTTTTCAACAGCAGGCTCTTCGAAAGAATATCGTGGCATCCGTTGCGCCTTGCGCGTTTTTTTTGGGGGAGGCTTGCCTGTTCGGGGGAGTAACAATTGAAAAATGAAACTGGCATCCAACAAGTGGCGTCTGTCTTTTGCGCAGTGCTTCACCCGCACGATACATTCCGTACTTCCCCTATGCATCCGCTCGCGTTTGCCCACATAATAAATGACCAGCAAGGAGGAGACGACTTCTTCGCACCAAACAATTTAACTCCCAGAAAGTTAACCGTTAAAACCCTCCAAACTAACTGTCCCCAATAACCGCGGCATCCGATTGTTACGCAATGCTCATACACCCGTACGATATACATACACCGTCCGTGCTTGCCCTCTGCATCGCCCGCGTTTGCCCACCTAAACGACCAAGGAGAAAAAATAATCTTGGCGCTGATCATTCGAAACTCACATAAAATTGGAAAATCTATCGTGCGCGACTTGCTCACGCCAGCGAACGGCTATTTGTCGTGGTTTACGCCTGGAACACCGAAGATGCCTAGAATTCTCACACAACGTGGGTGCATCTTGCACTTACACCGCTACGTACTCCTCGAAAGTGGGTGGCACCACGCCAAAGTATTGCGAAATCTCGTTGCCCCCGTTCATGCATGAGTGCCAGTTAGAAAGCAGAGTGGCTACCCGGTACTGCTTGGCGACAGGGCTTAGCAAGAATTTCTGCTGCGGCTTCATGCTCACAAAGGCCCACTTGCCGGTCATCTCTTTGAATCCCCACTCCACCGTTACGCGGCAGTGGCTCATACGCTTGTTGAAGTCGGCCATCTCTGGCGTTAGAGGGCCGACACTTGACGCGCTAAAAGGACAGACAAGGTGGTTGCTCAGCCCATACGCCGGATCTCCGTACAAACAGTACGGATGGCCTGTAGGGCTGTTTAGCATCGACAACTTCTCCATCAACCCAGACTGCGCTAGAATAAAGCTGTCATGACATGTCCCCGCCACGGGGCCCCACAGATCCACAAATAGCCCGTCTGGCGTAACTGCCGCTTGGAACTTCATGGCGTGCTTCCTCTTGTGCCCATTGTAGAACAGTCGCTGCCAGTACTTGGGCCTGCGAATCAGTGTTGGGCGTACGGAAGGATGGGCCACCAACAACACAGGTCAAGACACCCAACAGTGATGCTGTATTTCATCGTTCTGCTAAAACTTCATCGCATGTTGCAACCTCGTAGTAAATCGCAATCAATCATGTGCTCGCGCAACCACACGACAGCAGTTCCACACAGATGAACATATGGTCTAGTGAGTGCGTCGCAAAACTCGAGGAACGTACAAGATGGCCTGCTGATGCTGCGTTGGATACGCGGCGGGAAAAGCAATCCGCGGGGGGAATCACGCAACTACTGTCTGCGGTGTGTACCAAATCANATGTAGCAAAACGCCAGAAACCGTTGAGTCGGACTTCACCTTGCAATGCCACGCACGGTGCCATCGATAAAACCCCAACAGTGAGTGAGAGGACAGCCGGAGTTGAAGATTGCTTCCGCAAACTCGATCAGGTGCGGCTGCAGGCGTGCCACGTCGAGGGACAGCAGATACCCCCACCTGAAGTCTAGAAAATGCAACATCCAGTTGAAGGCTTCGCAGATACACGATTCGCTCATCCCGAAAACCAAGCGCATGTCCTTCAGGCGGCATGGGAAAGCGAGCCGATACAGGAGCACGCACAGAGCATCACGTCCGCTTACCACGAACCCACAGTCAGTTCGGATGAACACGGGGATCAACAGCAGATCCAGCATCAGCATAACCTGCATCACGTGACACCACACAGGAAAGCAAAGAACGATGTGTTACTTGTTATTCCAGTGCACACCTCTCCGTTGGCTTGTGGGTCTAACATAGCACGGTGACTTGACGCACCCAGAACGACTAACCCCTCGCGACCCACGGAATGCTGACATACTGCTGCTGCTGTTGAACGACATACTGACACACACACTGGTGCTGCTGATAGCCGGAGTACACATGTCCAAGCCACAGCAACGATATAATATTTAGCTGCGACATGCACTCACTTGCGATTGCGTGAAACGTAGAAAGTTGACGCAGTCCTGTGGGCTGAAGAATGCTGTCACGTCCCTACGTGCGATACTCGTGGGCGTGTCGTCGAGTTCCAGACAGGCCATCGCGTAGATGAAAGCGATGTTGTACACGAACCATATAGACTAGTCTATCGGTGTAGACTTCGAATAGATTACGGCATCGAAGCATGACCGAAGCACGTTTTTTGCGCTCGATTCGTTCGCGAATACGTAGACGGGACATGGTAGCCTCGCCCACACACTCATTAGTGGGAGCGCTGCAGAGCGCTCTGTCAAGAGGCAGCTGTTCCCGCAGCAGGGCAGCAAACAGCCACGGAAGGAGGGGGACTGTCAGGCCACTGTCCACCCCGGCCAATCACTTTCGCCCGAGCCTGCAGACATGAAATCGGAAAATATTCACCTGCAGGAAGTTTCCAGGAAACTTTCTTCACTCAAAATCTATTTCCTTATTTCAGTAAATTTGGAGCCCCAGTCCAAAACTCTGTGTACTTCCAGTAACACAAACGAGCGGGTCGCGACGCGGTTGGACTGCTGCGGTGGTCACCTGTCACCTGTTCACGAAAAGCGAAATGATGTGTCCTTCGCCCTTCTCGTATTTTTCTACAAACTACATCTTGCACGTTACGCTGGTGTGTACATGCCATATTCCGTGCCCGAGGGAGGTGGCACGGGCAGCCGGTCGGGTGGGCTTTGCGGCTCTAGGCCAGCAGCACGCCCGAGACCTCGAGGCAGGGGGAGGAGAGGAGCAAGCGGCCGGGCGAGGCGACGATGATGTCCAAGTCGTGGCAGCACCAGCAGCAAAGCAGGCCAGGGTTAGGAAGAGCACGAAGTGGCCTCCTACTTACGACTTGGCGCTGGCAAGGGCGGGTGAGTCTGTTCCCGCGCAAGGGTTATGTTCTGATTTGCTAGAGAGAGGCGGTTTGGATGTGTTCCCTCCCCAAACCCCACCCCCATACGCTCCGAACGCGACACAGCACTGCAGGAGCAGCCGGCCACAGCAGTGGTATACGTACTTGCTGTCTCCGTACTGGTGCGATTTCCTGTGCTGGAGTTAGTTGTTTCCTTTGCTGGGGTTGAG